GAAGGGGCCCTCAGGCAATTAGTTCCTGAGCTACACAGTACATTGGTGTTTTTTTTACTGTAAACGTTTTGTGGGGCATGAGTTTAGCAAGTCAGGTCTGTTTTGAAGACTTATACTCTTGACATGCTTTGAGATCCTTAGGTGCAGCAATATAGTGGATTGATAACATTTCTGTAGTTTGAATGTATCTTTGCATTGCTCTTCATGTAAGGAAAAAGACAAGACCAGTGAATATAGCTTCATCTGTATTTATATATCTGAGCTGGTGAAACTTCATTTGAAAACATTTCACTTCACATCAAACAGAAAAAGATCCATTTGCAGCTGCTTTAGTATTCATTCAGTCACTTTTGCGAAATTTAATTATGTGCTTTCTGAAATGGAAGTAAGTGGCAATTTTCTTAATGCAGTTAGCACCGTACATACTTGATATTATAATAATACTGATTTGTGCTCTTCTCATGCCTCTCTCAAACTATTGTTTAACATTCAAAAATATCTTCTAGCATTTGCTGGAATGAAAAAGGTGTCTAAATACAAATATGTGTATAGGTGTTAGAAGATGCAGTTTCTGAATGCAGCTATTTTGATCTATAATTACTTGCAAGAATCTTTCAATGACTCTAAATGGAGAATGAAATTCAACTCCATCTACATATCATTACAAGGTAAGGGTAAGTTTATAAAGCATTAAGTGAGGTGCTAATCAACTCTTCTAAAACTGAAGAGGAATTAAATGATTGAAATCCCATGGGAGGTATTTTCAGGCCTAATCAGGCAGTTTAATGGAGTTGTGCACATTGTGCCAAATGTATCCTTTTAGCAGCTGAATTAAGTGGTTTTGCTTTTGACCAGCAATTATTTAAAGAATAAAGAATTACTAAGAAGACCTGCTCAATTCTTGGACTGTGTTAATGAGTTAGTAAGTACTGTAGAATTGTGGTGAGGCTGCATGAAGTACTGGGGCTTGCACTGCTCATTGAAGGATCAATATACAAAAATCAAACTTTATTCAAAGACTCTAATATTTCATTAGAGAATCCTGCTCCACTGTGGACTATGGAAGAATGCCATAGAAGCACTAAATTAAATTAGCCAAGCATCAGGGTAAAATATCATCTAAAAATGTCATACTAAGAGAAAGTGAGTTAGTATCAATGCATCAAATTAATTGAGTAAGCTGAATTATTCTTAAAATACCATCAGAGCCTCACAATCTCTCAGCAATAATTCTGAAACTTGCTAAGCAGTGTTCTGTCAATCTTGATGCCAAATGGTACATACAGGTTCCACTCAAGTAGACCAGAACGCTTTTACTAAAAGGTGATCTTTGAGAAACCTTTTCTAATGCCAGGACTAATTGGAATAATACCAATACATTCATCCACACTATTGGGGGTCAGTTTTCTCTCAACTTCTGCACTTACAGTGAGTCTAGAATGACTCCACCTCTTCCTAAAGCAGTGTTTAATAACTGAGGAAGACCACAAGAGTTTGCTGGCTGTTAGCTTTTTTTGTATCAGCAGGGACTTTGGTAACATATAAGCTGTTCTTGTTGCATGAATAAATTTTCTGTGTGTGCCATCTACTGGACCCTGCTCAGAGTGCAATGTTAACTCAGTTGTATTTGTACCTAAATAACCTTATCTGAAACTAAAGAGATTATTGCAAAAGTGAACAGCATAACATCTCACTTTATGAAAGCAGTAGGGTTTTGTAAGTGACCGTAATTCACAATAGATAAAGATGACAATTCTGGATTATGTTTTTAATGCATTGATGCATTTGAATAGAATTATTACTGCAGTAGTACAGATCTGTAGAATTGAGTGCTTGTCTATGTCATAAAATTAAAGATCTGTGTTTGAAAACATTGAACTTGTAACAGTATGCAAACCCAGAGCTTTCATAAATAGATATCGTAAGTTTAAGGCTCGCAATCGTAGTAGATAGGTAATGTTGTTTTGAGCCTTAACAGTTTTAACCTCACAAGTCGTGGTAACTGCCCCTTTAAAATGAGTATGACAGCAACAAATTCCCGTTTTAGAGAAGGATTTTATTTCACAATAGATCAGAGCAGAGTTGGCCCAACATATCAACTCTTCGTCCATCAGAGATAAATTCCTTGCTACTGTGAAATTTCAATTGGAATTTTGAAGTTAAGAATTTAATTTAATGGGGTATTAACTGAGGCTATAACAGTGGATTGTGTTGGAGAACGTGGAAAGTAAACTAATAAAATGACAATTTTTTATTAATGTTTATAAATTAGTAATAGAGGAAAATGTCTTCACTGGGTGAATATCACTATTGGTTACCATCTGACAAATGTATCCATCTCCTGCTGCTATGTCAGAGTTCCTGTGGGGTTTATTTTGATTGGTTTTGGTTTTGTTGGGGTTTTGGTTATTGTTTTTTTTTTATTTTTTTTCGTGGTGGGGAGGGGGTTGTTTGGATTGTGGTTTTTTTTTTTTTTAGTGTGCCATTTACTACCTTCCAGTTTTGTCACTTAGCCAAATACCATTACTCTGTAAGCTTTCATTTGAAAGTGAAATGGATTAGTTCTACAAATGCAGATTGAATGGGTTGTGCCATCATGATATGAGTAGAAAGAGATGAAATTTACTTTGAACTATGTAGTCAGTTTATGTCTTTGCTTGGTTTTATCTTTTCATTACTTCAGATACCTTTTTCTTTTCTTTTCTTTTCTTTTTTTTTTTTTTCCCCCAAATAGCTGAGCCCTTTGTGTCATCAAGCCAAGCTTTTTTGTTACATCCACAAATTCCTCTTATTTTAAGAATCACCAAAACTTCCTTCTTCCCTTTTTTTAAAGCTTCAATAAAATGCATTCCTAGGCAAACAGTCTTGTGTGAACTTAAATTACTTCTATTTCTGCTTTCCTTCTACTATTAAAAATCCACAATACAATGTCCCCCGGCAGAAGTAGTAAATTTGATTTTAGATTATCCCAGGTTTCATCCTTGTATCTAATACTTCAGTATCAGTTCACACATGCATACACATGCATTTAAGTACTTTTTTGTGATTCTTAGGTTTGGAAGACACAGTGAAACATGGTTTAAAACTTGGTTTTGTGAATACAACTTTTATTTGGTAATTAGATTATTTTCGAACAACATCCGTGCTTATGTGCTGTGAGCAGCCCATAATCACAGTGATGTATAAAACATAGTCATCGGGTTTGGTCTATGTCGATGCATTGAATTTAATGGAATAGTCACTTACTGACAGTAGACTTGATGTAGTTTTAAAAGTCACTTAAATTTTTACAGTACCTGGTAATAATCAGAGCTCTGTTTTGTGCAATGGCATATATACATTGGAAAGATTTAAACTGTTTATATCCACATGGCAAGCTTTGACACAGTGCTTCACCAGTTGCAGTTCTCAAACATATGTCAAGTATGTGAGGAGTGGAAATGGACCTTATTGTGCAAACATTCATGCAAACAGACCACTGTGTAACAGGCCTAATACAGATATGGAGAACAGAGCTCAGATTAGCTAATGGCTCAAATTAGCTAACAGCTCGGATTAACAGGTCTATTGTCCAAATGTGGACAAAATTAAGTACTGTAGAAATCTGAGGACCAGAAACACTATGTGCAAAGCATATCGGAAAGAATATACTTAAAATACAATGGGAAATAATTCAGCAGGCTTGCTTACAAAAAATAAAAAATTATACTGCTTTTTTTCTTTCATAGAATAATTATGGTAATCATGTTTCTGAAATTCCAGCCTACAAATTCAACGCTATATAATACATTAAAGGAATCAGAGCAGCATGCATGTTCCATATATCTACATGATTTTGTATAATTATTTCAAAATTTGAATGATAAAAGTAATTTATTAATTCCAACCTTGTGAAAAAACTTACTCAGCGAGAGACCTATAATTATGAGACAGAAAATCAGAGAGTAAATTATCACTATGAAAATGCTTTTCTGTGTGAAATAAGCAAAGATACGTACTGTGTATGAAAGACTAGTTTATTCCCCCCAGAAAAAGACCCTTCAGTGTAGTCCTTCTTAGAGTTCTTGTACAAATGAGAAGTGCTTGTCCAGTGAAGTGCCCTTTTTGGTGTTTTATGATACAGAATGAATAAGAATGAGATTTAACCTTTTTTTCTTTTTTTTTTTTTTTTTTTGGAGGGTGTGTGTGGGGAGAGGTTCTGTTTGGGCTTTTTTTGTGTTAGTTTGTTTTTCCTTCTCCCAAGAGCTCTAACAATTTTCTAGTTTAAAGGTTATGGAGATGGTAGAAGTAGAAGTTACGTTAGATATTCCAAAGGTTTATACCACTGTGTCACTGATGTGAGGTGGGAATTTTCTGTGTTTAACCAGAGGAGGTGAAGATGGGTGTTGCCCCTGGCTCCTGTGTAATACTAGTGGTAATTTTATATATCCATTATCTTATTCTCAGATGGTCTTTACCAGGATGTTTACAGATCTTCTCTAGCATACTCTATAGCACAATGTTGGCTTTTAAAAACAGTTATCTCAACTATTGTTTTTACCCAGTGCTCTGAAAATTATTATCCTCAGTAAAATCTGACACTGTAAGTCTTTGGTATCAAGCAGAATGGTATGACAGCAAAACACAGTAAAGAAAAACGTTTGAGTGACTTCGTATACAAACAGTTTTTGTAACTTAGATATGTCCTAAATATTTTAAACTGTTTCTTAGTCTTAAATTCAACTTTGATATTATTCATACAGATGTTTTCAAAAATAGATACTTAGAGCTTTTGCAATAGTCAAATACTGCTAGGTCCAGCTTCGGGGAGGTGAGGGAGAGGGGGACACGTGTAGTCCTGGAATTAAACATGCGTCAGGCTTGTTCTTTTGTTGACCCCCAAACCTTTTAACTTGCACTGTTTGAAAAGCAAAGCATAACATCATCTGAACTTGGTTTTAAAAAGTAGCCAGGAATCCTGCATATATTACTGCATCACCTACCAACAGGATTATTTTATTACTTTGAAGTTGTGGCCAGAACCTGGTTCTGCTGCGCAGGCAGAAAAAGTTGTCAGTGAAAATTGTAGCTATTTAGGGGCAACAAAATGTTTTACTCTATATCTTTGCCTGGAAATGATGTGTATTTCTTTGTTGCTATGACTGAGAAAGCCCTGTAACTTTACTGCTGATCCATTTTAGTCACCCTGGTTCTTGTTTGTGTTTCTTCTTGGTGTGAAAACCATCTCCAGCAGCGGTTGCCTTTCTATTGGGTGCATGGATAAGTCATTGTTTTTCTGGATGTTGTTAAGGCCTCTTCCTTTCATTGTCTGTACTCTGCAGCGTCTCAGAAGAGTCACCAGAATTGCTTTCATCATTACCATAGCAATAAACTTTCCTACACAGCCCCGAGGGCCAAATCCAAAGGGTTGGAAATAGCGTGAAGGAACCTGCACAGAATAACATGAGGAATAAACTTAAAGATGACTTTTTCTTCATAAAACTTGTGAAAATTATGATTGAAATTTGTAGTAGAAGAATTCTGAAAAACTTGTGGAAAGAATCTCTTAAGAGCAATTACTGCTTTCCTTTACAATGAACAACCCCTTCCACCCAGGTCAGATGAAAATAGAGACACACCTAGGAAAAGCATACCATTTGAAATGCTAAGATAGCAGTGACTGTAGGGTTAAGCAGTTGAATTCTCCCTGTGTGTTTCAGTCTGTTCGTCCTGTGAACTACAGGGATTTTTTCCACAAGCTGTGAAATAGAGTGAAGCTTTTTGCTCTTCAACCCATATTAAAGTTCATTAAAAACATTTTTCTCAGAAAATGTTTATTACAAAGCTCATAAATATCTGAGAAACAGGCTGATGCCTTGTCTAAAGAGAATGATAAAGCCCTGAACCTACTATAATTGTCACTGAAAAGCTAGTGTTCCTGAGAATTAATTTGTCATAAAATGTAATAGTAAAAATTTTATTTGATACCTAGCAGTGAGATAACACAAAATTATCTCCTGTCCTATCAGCTAAAATGTGAAATGCAGGGCTCCCAGAACTGTTGAAGAATGCACAGCCAGTTTCCTACTTCTGTTGACACTGAGTAGATCAGTTATCCAAAGCAGCCAACAGCATGAATAGTACTTACTGTTAATGATTTGCAAAGATAATTGTTCTAAGTAAGAAAAAGCAAGTCTGGCTATAAATAAATTCATTTCTTGATCTGTGTAGTTTTCTTTTAAAAAGTAAGATATTGGCTGTCTTCTGACTTCCTATTTAACCTAAGAATAGCGTAGAAAATTTTGCTTTATATTAAATTGTCTAGGAAAGTGTCCTTTTCTTCTCATTTTCAGACTGAAAAGTGTTCTCCCTTTAAAGTTTTTCAAATAAACTGGGCTGTACTTTTAAAAAAAAAGATAGGTAAATGCAAGTGTTTATAATACAGAGCAAGTACAGCAGCTGGCAGTACAGCACAATGGCAAATGCACAGCCTGGGAAAATGGAAAAATGTTTGGATTCCAACAATGCCCATCTTATCATAAATAATGGTGTGGGTTGTTATTCACTTAGAAAACCGTGTGAAAATTGTGCCTGCTAGAATAATTATGTGGCAAACAGAATGCATCAAGTCAGATAGAAAATGTGTGGTTAAACATTTGGTCAAGGGCAAATATTTTTAGAAGCAAAATGTACTTATAAAATGAGCAGGAAATCCATTTTGAAAGAAATACTTACAATGATAATAATGGGTAGCAAAATGGAAACAGTTCCCAGACAGTAGTTATTTCAATGAACTTAATCACTCTTTTCTTGAATTTTCTACTATGACTTTGTTCTTGATCTGTTGTTTTCAGTACTGAGTGCAGTGTTTGCTATGGGTAATCAAACAGGAGTTTAGAAAAGTTAACCAGGTCGTTTAGTGCTCATTTCTGTGTGTGGCATACATGGTACTCCAAGATGTTTGATAGGGTTGCACATAGGTAAAAAAATTCACATATTGCTTTTGATATCGGACTCGGTAATGTAGACTAAAGAAAATTCTCATTCTTTGGGGACTTAGAATATAACTTAAATGGGAATGCTGAGCTAAACTGGGACAGAGTTACTCAACATCTGCACTGCTGAGCTGGTTCAAATTTAGGATTTTAATTTTGGTCTATATATGTATTTTGATTTAGAATTTAAAAAAAATAGTTGCTAGATTCTCACTCTCTCAAGAATTACTATACTGCTTCATCTCTCCGGAGAATCCTCGCATGGCCTCAGTGTTTCGTGCTACTTGCATGGCTGTAGCTCCTGAAAGACTCTTTATTTTGTCTAGTGTTAGGGGATGTAATGGAAACTATGCGCGTCTTTGACAATTTTAATCAGAAATTTAAATTAAGATGTTTGGGAAAACTTTGGTTTTGATTTCATAATTATTTTTTAATTAAAAGGCACTTTGATAGGAAAATATCTGCCCAGCTTCAATAATAATGATGTACAGCTAACTAGGCACTTAGATGAAGGGAAAGCAGTTTTACGGTCACAAAGTTCCTGATCAAAATGAGAGGAAGAGACATTATCAATAAATAATACCCAATTTTCTATGAGAAATAAGATAAAAAACTTACATTTTTCTCAAAATTTTCAAGAGAAAACTCATTTGGCTTTGGGAAGAATTCAAGCTTATGCATACGTCCAATATTGAGAATAATGTTTGTCCCCTTTTTCACAGGATAGCCATCAATTACATCATCTTGTAAAGCTTTTCGCATGATCAAGTCCACAACTGGCTGGTACCTCATGCTCTCATAAATGAAATTCTCCACAACTTTTAAGTTCGGCATGTCATCACTCTGTATGTCTCTGTCACCTTGTGGAAGAACGCAAGTAGTAAAGATTTTGGTTAGGAATTTAATAGCTTCATTGTACAACTACAAAACATTTTTGGAAGGTTCTCAGGTCCTGAACTGCAGGAAGGATCCAACAGCTTCTAATAAGTTTTATGTAGTCTCACATGTTTTGGAAATCTGGTATATTGTTCGTCAGTGTAAACCCTAGTTCATCAATTTATTATCTTCTCACCTTCTTAAGATCAGTCTTTGTTTTGCTTTCTTGTCAGTGACAAAAGTCCTTCCCTGACTTGTATGGCTGAGAACAAGACACAACAAAGAAAACTTCTGAGAGCTGACAGCAAACAGAATCTGGGAATACTCTGCAGATAGGAGAGAACTTTATGGGGACCTGAGATTTTCGCCATGTGGTTGAGTTTGGCTGGATGTACAACAAGGTCCTACTGTGGACTGACTATTTCAGTTACTCTGAGTAACTTCCTCCCAGCTTGATGCCATCAGCAGCAGTGTCAGTGCCACAGTGGACTGCTAGTGGGAGCCTTACTTTAAGTTTCAAGCCACAAGCAGTTAAAGAACTACAGGGAAGTTTATGTACAGCGGTAGATTTCCAGCATACAAGGCAGCTTTACTACCTCAGTTTTGGCTTTTTTTTTCTTAAGGAAAAAGCAACAATATGCTACTGCCTTGGAAATCAAAACTATCAAAAGGAAATAGGAAAGATGAGTACTTAACTCTCACAAGGACAATAAAATAAGGCTTACTAAAAGAACCTTGTAAAAAGAGTAAAGGAGTTGTTACACATTTTTCAGTGTTTGACCAGAAGTAAATCTTGAGTAAGAATGGGTGAAATTAGATTCTATATTACTTCAGTGCAGGCTTTGAATGAAGTCTAGAGAAGGGGAAGAATGAAAATTTGGAGTATCTTGTGTTTTGAATAGTTAATAATCAGTACTTGGAAGCGACCAGTTTGCTATACAAATGGATGACAACAGAATATAATTTTAATTTTCTGTAATCTTTCCCTTCTGCAGTCATAGTGAAATATTAGGTAGGTTCTGGACATACACAGAGAAATATTGGTGAAGTGCTTGAAATTAGTGTCCCCTTTTGCTATTTCAAAGTAAATAGAAAATTTCAATTAAACCTACTGGGCTGAAACTTATGAGCACTGATTTTCTGTGCTGTCGCTGAGGATTAAATATAGCACATTCTTTCTAATAGATTGTCAGTTCTGATGATTCCGATTTGAAATTATCTCGTGAATTACTCATTTCCTTTCCTTTGACCTTGAATAGAATCTATTGCATAAAATGGTAATTCATGTATTTTACAGCAAATGCTTCTAAGAAAGCAGAATTCTCATCCTTTGAATACTCAAAATCTGATCACTGCTGAAGCAAAATTATATTCCCACATCACCGATTTTGCATCTCCTGCTTACCCATAACAGTTTCAATTTCTCTCATCATCTCCTCTTCCACTGTGGGGTGCTCTGCAATCAGTATTAGCATAAAGAAGAGAGTCACCGATAGAGTATCAGGAGCAGCAATCATCATCTCCAGCACACACTGGTTCACGTTCTCGGCAGTCAGATCCCCTCTGTTCTGAAAAAAAAATTGAAATTTTGGAGAAAGCATGGATTGCTGACCTCTGATACCAACAAAGGTCCCACAGCAATAGAATGGGAAGGGTCTAAAGTATCTGTTTTAAGCAAAAGTAAAAATCCTTACGGTCTTTCTATCTCACATTCATTTTTTTTTTTCCTTTGGAGAAAAACAGAAGCCTCATGTTTTGATGGGTATGTATTATCTTACTGAAAACAAGAGTTTGCTTTTAGCTTGTATTCTTACTGATTTCTTGCCTTTCCTCACAGTTGGTGAGCTGTCAGAGATTATGCAAGATAGAGTTTACGTAACATTTAGAGCCTTTGCAACAAAATGCAATAGATCAAGATAAACTACAAGGTTTAGGGAAAGAGTGGAGGACATTCAGGGACAGATGCATGAGTTTTTAAGGATGTTGTTTAAGCCATTAAAAAAAAAAAAAGAAAATATCAGAAAAGCACCTCTTCCCAAAAATGCAAGTATTCAATGTTTGAATCACTGTTAGGGACTCTACAGAACCAGGTAATTTCTATATCCCTCTCTGAAGACATGACTTCAGATAGAAATATAAAGTTTAAGTGTCAGTCTGTGTTGTTATTGCCAGGAATGTCAGAAAAATGAAAGTTAACCATATTTTGAGTACATTGCCAATACCTGTGCAAATATCAACTGGGATGCAAAATCCATGTGTTCATCCAGCTTTTCAACAGTGGAAAGCATTTGTCGTTTCTGTTCTATTAAGATTTCCATTGCTCCTTTCAGATCCTTGCTGAAAACAGATGAAATCCAACATATTGATAAATATTTGCAGACTTCTAGTGTGCGCTAGGGTATGACCAGAAGCATAGAGACTATACCAAGGAAAATATCTAAGGACAGCAGAAATGAAATATTCTGAAGAGTGGCTATTCAGCTCTCTGCAAACAGAATAATACTAAGGGAAGGTGTATTTTCTTCTTTATTATTAAATAATTGCTTACTGGTTTGGGCTAAAATCTTTTTATAGAATAGGCTGAAAAGGACGAAAATATGTCTGTATATGCTACTGACGGAGTTTTTAAAGATTTATAAACATTTCCAAAGAATTTGTTTATTTCCTTCTCTTTTATACTCTAGTTTATAAGCTAATAAAATGAACTTGGAGAACATGAGGAATAATTGTTAGAAAAATTGGACTATCTTGAAAGTAGGGTTGATCCAAATTATTCATATTTAAATAATACCGTGTCAACAGTTTGTATTTCAGAGGTGAAAACAAAGCAATGTCCAGCAGTTTTTTTATATTTGGGATTTTCAATTAGCAATAGATGTGTAAGCAATGCTTTTTAAAAAGTATTTTGAAAAGTTTTTGAATTAAATCCTCAGGCCTTCCCTTTGTGCTTGTTATTGTTGGGATAGAAAAATTTACTGGCTTTGAAGGGGTAAATAGATTTAAAACCTTAAACCTGGTAAAGTTGTTATTATTTCTAACATCTTCTAGGTATTAGAAATAGCAAGTAGTTCTTTTTGCAAACTTTATCAGAAGAATGTCAGAAGTCATCATGTCCAGAGGTAATTTTTTGCATTGTGTTAAGTCTAGTGATCTTTATAATTTTTATGCAATAGAAATTTATCAATAAGCCCATTTTAATGGGATTGCTTTTGAAACATAAATATTTGCCTGCAGGGGCTTCTAGTAATAACTGGGCCACCACAGTTAGCTATTATTAGAATCACAGGGTAAAGCACTATTAGTGCCATAATAAAACTAAGAAGCAAATGTTAGGGAAATGAAATCTTGTGTCTGGCTGGTAAGAGTTGTCAGTCATTTTAGACAAACCTCCATCTTTCCTTTAAAGACTTTATGTTAAGTAGCACTATCAAAACAATTTATTACACATGCTTTGTAGGTAGTAGTTTCTCTCACTAGATGGAATCCAAATCCAAAATGAACAAACTGGTTGCCAGCTCTTTTTATAGCCGGTCCTCTTGGCAGAAGATAGAGAATGGGATCATAAAAATAGAAAATGCACTTTGTATTTTTGAAAAGAGTAAGATGGCAAAATATATTTGTTCCTAAATAAGGATTAAAAAGATTTGTTCCTAAGGATTAAAAGGATTTGTTCCTAAATAAGGATTAAAAAAAAAAACCACCTTGAAATGGGTTATCATGCTGAATACCAGGTTTTAACTAAAAAATGAGTGGTTGCCTCAAAAATGTATGCTGAGGGAACCAGTAAATAGAATTATGTTTGATGATGAACTCTTCTGGGACAGTCATGGACATAGATGGTTTTCTTGTTTGGATGAGCTGCAGCTTACTATTTGACAGTCTTTAACTCAATGGCAAATGGTAACTTCACACCATATGATGACTTTTCAATGTCTGTTTTAACTTAACCTGTGGTTTCAATTTAATTTCACATTTCAGCTGGTATTAACTAATATTTTGGTGAGTAAAATAGGGCTAAATAGACAACTGCCTTAACTTGTCCCCTGAGAGAAGCACATTTAGCATTGTGGCAAATCTTGTTCTGATCCTATCTTACCTCTGCAGACATGGGACTTCCCCCAGTCACCTTTGCAAGTTTCACAATTTATCCTCAAAAAGTCAGAGGAAAACATCAGGGAAAATCTGAGTAGAAAGAAAGAATCCTATGCAAATGATTTGTAAAACTGCTGATACTTACGCTGCCTCTTCGTATTTCTTGCACAGCCAAGAAATCTTAAAAAAGAAGTCAGGCTTTAATAGAAGTGCTTGCCAAGCATCAAAGTAGTTTTGAATCTTGAGGACAATGGCGCTTTCTGAAAAGAAATGTTAACAAAAAGCAGTATAAAATACAAGCCTCAATAGTCAAATATCAAAATGCTTCAAAATAAAAATAGTAATAAGGCCCTGTTGCCTACTCTAAGTTCATGGGAATTTGATAAACAGTTGTTTTTAATGGTGGTAGAGAATATTAGAAAACATTTGTAGCACACTGTAGAAAAAGTATAGATCTTTGTAAAGACTCTTGGTAGCTAGCTAAAAGGAGACGGTTGTGTGTCAACCAAAGCCAAATGCCTTCCCACAGGGGAGCAGAACAACTCTTACAGCATGTTGAAATGGGTAATTGAACATCACAATGTTGTTTCTGTCACATGGGTTTGAGGCCAAAGAAATCGCAGAAGACAAACTGTCAGGCAAACTTTTCAAGGAAATAATTTAGTTTGATGGAAAGACTTCCTATTCTTATACGCATATAATATTGGTATTGCACCAGTTCAGTGCATGAAAAAAACTTCTCTAAATGGTAATATTTAAGGTGAGTGTGACAAGCTAATGTATATTTTTATTCATATAAGATTCTTTCTATAACTAAAATGACTCATTTATTTCAATTAATAATATGGTGATATTAAAGTCTGTTCTTGCTCTGTTTTCTGGAACAAAACTGGTGAGTGATGTCAGTGAGTTTTCCTTGGACATGCGTTTTAAAGCCACCATAAAGTATAAAAATAGAGCTGCTGGTACCATCCAAAGGAATCCCGAGAAAAAGCTTGTTAGATGTGTCAAGCATGATCCGTCTCATGAGATTCAACACATTGATGTTTCCTACTTCAGTGGTTACTTCCTCTAATTTGTCCAGGTGATTAATTGTTGATTCAACACAAATTGCTATCATGCGCACAAGACCAGGACCAGACAGAGCTGAAATACATGTGGAAAATGATCAAAAGATTGGTTAACTTTTGAACCTTCTTTATAATTAATCAATTGGCCATAAAGGTGTCAATACGATGTAAAACATGACCATGTGAGTGACTTGTTTACAGTCATTCTGAAACTCAGGGATTTATCATCTTACGAAAGAAAAATGTAAACATTTTGAGTTAAAATGGCAATGAACCTGAAGCCCAAACATGCCTTGCATCCTGCTACTTTATCTCACAAATTTAATGCTAGGTTCACACCACATTAATGGAAGATAATTTGCCTCAAGAACATTATTCAATACATGTTGAGAAGGATTGAATGTTTGTAACCAAGAAGAGGGGACGTCTGTTCTGTAAATAGAAAGGACTGGTAGTTCTAGGAATAAGTAGAAAAATAAATAAATGAAAAAATTCAAGTCATCTTCAACCAGTACAAAGTTGCTGATATTTTTCAATAGCAAAATCAAACAGAAAGGCCAAGTTTCATGGAGGACCACAGATATATCAATAAAAAAATACAGAAAATTTAAACCAGTGGATAATTGATTTCTACTAGGTTTGGCTTTATTTTTATTTTCAGATTCTGGAATCACTGTCGGGAACTACTGCAGTCTCAGCTGGTGAGACTCTTTTCTGAGCTGTGGAACTTGCAGCACAAGTGTGGTGGTTTTGTTAGGAAGGAGATGGTTCTAACTAGTTGCTGAAAATCTTCAGCATGTGGACAAGAGGAGTTAATGCAATTTCCTATTTGATTTCAACTTAGTGATGTTAATTAATTCTTTTTCTGTTACTACATTGACTCCTAGTATATGACAGGATTAATAAATAGATTTCCTGTGAAATTTTCTAAATTAATTTTGAAATGACAGCTTTTTTATTTTTTTCCCCAGTTAGAACTGAAGCTAGAGCTGGGATAGGAACACCCAGCAATATTTATGGAAGTGCAGTTGAGCTAATATACCTGCTGGACTTGAAATATAAAACATTTAAAAACACATCTTGTAGGTAGCATTAAATTGGATGAGATTAAAAATCTGTGAAACTATTTCAGAAGCATTTCAAGTAGCACACCAAGCAGGGTAAGTGTGAAAAAAGGTGCAATAAAATAATTCTATGGATATATAAAGAGAACTGATTTCTGTAATTTAAGTTTGCAAAGGACAAAGAGCATTTCAGAAGAGATAGTGATGCAGTGAATTAATGCACACTGATTTACCTTTGGTGAAAAAGGGTCGAATTTCTTTCCAGTGTGCTGGGTTGTTATTGAATATGATCCCATTTTCATACATGCCAATGCATTGTAATCCAAGCTTGCTCCCAAATCGAGAAACATAATGCCAGTGTTTCATTACATGGAACACACTTGAGGATCTAGGAAAGAAACAGAGGGAGAAAAAAGCCCAAACCAAAAATACTGCTTCATAGATTGTACACAGACCTTTCCTACTGTCATTCTATAGCTCTGAAGTAGACTTGCAATCTTAATTTAGTAGGACACATAATGCTTGACCTTAAATGTTGTTCCTTTCACATAATTAATAATCTTACTGAGAAATGCCTTCGAATTGTATATAAAGCAATCATGTATTCTGTTCAGATTTAAAACTATTTTTAAGTTAAAATGCAAATGGTTTAAAAAAATATTTCAATCTGAATAGTGTGTATATTCAAGCAATGACCAATGTCACATATTTCAGAAGATAAGGAGTAAGTATTTGACAATTGCTAATTTCATGATGATGTATATTAAATTACAGCTATAATTTTATAGCTATTTGGTCATTCCCAGACACATGCAGAAAGTATAAATACATATGTACCATTTAAATATGCAGCATCACAATATGATTATGTGTGTGGGATAAATATTCCTAGACATGTTAGGGAAATCAGTGATATATACGTTTCTTTTTACAGTTGACTAGGTTTATTTACACAGGCTGGCAAACAGATTGTAACCAGCATTATTGCTTTAAGATACAATTTCTTTTAAAGGGAGATAGCATTTTAGAAACAATGACATGGTAAAAACCTGATCAAATGAAATCCAAGAAAAAGAAAAACAGAATAGAGACTGAAATGAAACAATATCCTACTTTCTTTACCATGTGGCATATTCAATGGATCAAATCCCAGACTTCTTACATGGGTTTAATTTGTTTTTAGAGTGAAGCAGAGTACATATGACTTTTGCTGTTGACTTGGGCAGTGCTGGGTTTTTACCCTAGTTTTGCATGACTAGAAGTAAAGTTAATCTTAAAGGCTTTTTGAGCATTCAGGGTCATTATCTATATTTTCATGAGCATGAAAAGATGATGTTGAATTATGATAGCTGTGCTGAGGGCTGGAAAGGTGCAGGTTGCTCATTTTGCTTCCCTCTACATAGGAGACCCAAAGTAATGTTTTAAGGGAGGATTTTGACATATGACCTTGTATAAGCATATCTTCCCTACAAAACTATTTAATTAAGTCTTCCAAAAGACAACATCTGCTGTAACGCAGACTGCAAGTCTTTCTCCCTGTGCATTAGTATCTCAGTATGATTAGATTTCATGGTCAAAAGTCAGATGACATTGGGGAAAATAGTATGCTTCTACAAAATTCAGGTTATGTTTAGTTTTGCAGTGCATTAGTTGATATTTGCAATTCCTGTGTAGAATAAGAATGTAAATAGTTTTCTTGTCATGTTTACCTCTTTTTATTGAGGTAAAACCAGAGATGAAGCTGACTTGATTCACATGGCAAATCCTGTGACAGTCTTCTATACTATGGTGTCTTTCAAAAGCTTTTGAGTAGTGAAAGCTGAGTACAGATTGATTGACATTGCTAATAAAAAGTTTGTGATTCTTCATCAGTTACAAGTGATAATAATTTTTAATTTTTTGGGTTTGTTTTTCATGGCATAGCTCATTTGCACCCAGAAGATCCAGTGAAAGCATAAAGCAACTTTTAACTACAGCTAATAAAATGACAGACTGCAGTTATGTTTAATACTGTGTATAACTCAAGTCTGTGAGTTCTTATTAATTGGGTACATTGCTTATAATCCTATAACACTGCATTTGCTTAATTAACTTGCTGAATTGGGACTATAGTCTTCAAACATTACTCCCATTTTAAGGAGAAATTTAAGAACCCAGGGAAATTTGGCTTAATCCTGCATTGCATCACTCTAGCTTCCTGTATAATACATAATCCTAATGTTCAATGGAATAATAAGAGATGGTAAACATTTCTTATGGTTGAGCCACAGTGCTTAATCTTCCTTTCCACAAAGAAAATGAGAGAATTCCCATAGACTTCAACAGCAGGATCTTTAATGAAACAACAGATTAGGGAAAAGTCTGTGAACAGCAGGATGTAAAAGGTTGATGTTAGGATAATTTTTGAAAATAACTTCAATTTTACTTTAAGAAAAAGTTAGCAAAGAGGGTGTAAAAATATGAAAAAGCTCTTGATATTATTAAGGATAGAAAATGAGGATTTACTTGCTAATTATATATGTTTCTTCACCGCTGATCCAAACTCTCACAAATTCTCCATATGTCTTATTGTAGTAGTTGCAGGCATTACCTACTCCCATCCAAAGAAATCTCCCATGTGAAATGAGGGGACCGATTCCCATACAGTATCCTGGCCCTAAGAAATAGGGTAAGAAAAGTTTGGTCTCATAAGTGGTCACTGACAAGAATAAACCTCTGAGCATCACCCATTTGAAAGGAGCTTTTAGACATGACAGGCAAGGCCTGCATTGGGGAAACTTGCCCCTGCATTGTGCATACAACTAATGACATTCGTTACTTTGCACAATTTCAGACTGCTGCTTTGAGACTGCTTATGTTTTAGTTTTATGGTTACATATTAGAAAGAAGATACGACTAGAAAAAATGCATATGGTTTCTAAATTTTTAACAAATCCTTAACTTTTGAAGAGTTTTAGCATATTGAAGGATGTTTGGAGAGGATCTTCTCTCAGAATTTCATTCAGTTGCCTCTGCATTTGTTTAGGATTATTCTTGTCAAACACCTTTGTGAGATGTGTACACTGCTCTCATTCATGGAGTAATTGCATTGAATCTAATGAAATATAGGCTGAATCAGTAAGGTCTACCACAAACCCTCCACATTAAAGAAGGGGCCCTCAGAAAAGGAAAACACTTGGTGTTTTTCTGTTCTTTAGGGTCTTTGGTGCCAAACATGGAAAAATTTATTATCTACTAAAATCTGAACAATTTCCTAGATAAGGGTTTTATGTCTAGTAAAGATAATTTAGAAAACTTGAAACTTGGTGTATAAAAATAGTTTATAATGCACATGAAAATATGAACATCTAGAATTTGTAAAATGGTATGATATCTTTCTAGCATATACATAATAAATCAGAAAACTGAACATCATATACTTACATAGCCAAGCCAGGTTTATTATGGAAGTTCTGAGGTTAGAGTGAGCCTGATTTGTTTTATGAATTCTTTGAAAAACTGTATTATTGAAACTGACTCTCAGTAAGTTTTGTTGGCATGCAGTCATTACTCAGCATTACTTTCCCACTTACATTCAAGAAACAAAAAGGTAATTTACCTGGTATTGATGAAGCTTCTTCATGATTCCATATTAGAAACAGAAAGCACATGAGAATGAGTACGGGCACTGTGGCCACTGTCATCGTATCTGGTACAAGGCTCGTGATGTTGTAGTGCATTGGATTCAGAGTTTCCAGTACCATCTTTTCCAAGAGATCCTGCTTTTCTTTAGGGAGAGAGAAAGGGGAAAGAGGCAGAGTTTTTCAAAGCTTTCTATTTTCAAAGATAGATTCAGCTTCAGTTGGTACCTCTCAACCCCTTTGTAGGTCTTGTAAATGAGCAAATTAACACTTGAGGTAGCCTCACTTTATACTGAGAGTGACGACTGCCGCCTGGACTGCTTGCCAGGACAAGCTGCGTCACAAGTCAAAACAGACATGCAGCAGAGACACTCTTTTTGTTTGGACCATAACAAAGCTTTCCTGACCTTGATGTTGAAGCATAGTTTTGGATACTTTGGCTTACAGATCTCTTATCTCTGATACTGACTTGGCTGGCCGATACTGAGGTTTACTCCTTGAAATTTGGAACCAAAGCACAAGAAATTAAGCTTTTAGCACGTGTGGAAGCCTTGAATGAGTTAATTCACAAGCTTTTGTCTCTGTTAGCTTTTTTCTTCCTACATGCCTGTAGTGTCAGAGTCCTTGAATTTTCAGATTGACTACAGTAGTTTTTTATGATGCAACCCCAGGTTTTTGTTTGAAACAATGTGTTATGGTGGTGGAGTTTTTGTTTGGTTGGTTGTGGTTTTTTTTTCAATTGTCAACCTTTGTATATAATGTATTGTATTGCTCTATGGTTCTGCTAAATAATTTGAAAAATATAGTGTATGCCATGAAAAAAAAACCACCAAAAACAGAAAAAAAACCCCACAGAAAATGGGATCATGGAATTTCTGGTACCATATTTTTCCTGAGGTAGTAACGAGCACTTGGCACAGGATAAAAAACCCAAAGCAAATGGACAGGCCTGTTAATGCAGGAGTAGAAGGATTCCTTCAAAGTTGTTTTGCATGTTTTTGACTTAAATCATAAAATATGAGAGATGACTGTACCTGAGAAGGAAGATATTTTTCTGTCAATGATAGCTCACATACAATCATAGAATAGTTAGGGCTGGAAAGGACCTTAAGATCATCTAGTTCCAGCCCCCTGGCCGTGGGCAGGGGCACCTCACACTAAACCATGACACCTGGCCTTGGACACTGCCAGTGATGGAGTGTTTCCCACTTCTTTGGGCAACCTCTTCCAGCACCTCACCACCCTCACAGTAAAGAACTTCTTCCATATATCTGATCTGAACTTCCCCTGTTTAAGCTTAAACCCATTACCTCTTGTCCTGTCATTATAGTCTGTGACGAAGAGCCCCTCTCCATAACCACAGGCAGATTCTTGTTGAATCTGCACAGTAATTTAACAAAGCATCTTCTTACTTTTGCTCTGACAGTAATTAAGAATAGATTTGCTTTGGTCCTTGCAACAATAGCTCAAAATTGAAGGATGTGTCCACTTAATAGGAAGCTTTTCGTAAGTTTACTTTCAGCAAATGCTTTCTTGTTTATCTTGTGGTTTGGTCTCAGCTTGTAGAATAAAGTAGAGATTACTTTGTAGTAACTGTCAGTGTTATATTAAACTAAGCCAAGTATGTGATGGATGCTTTTTAAATAGTGAGAAGATTGGTAATTGTGGTCGAAGTAGAGAATCAATAGAGTACAGGAAAAACCCTGGGGAAGGGAGCAAGCAGTGGCTCAGAACTTTGCAAGTGCATGCAACAGTCCACGATTTTGGATGATTGCTACGCAAGGCTGCTGGTATTTTGATCCAAAATGACCATGACACAGTATGCCAGGTGACCATTTAGAAACATGTGTGATATTCCAGTAGCTAGCAGTTACACCTCTTGTGATATGTACATGGAGACTCTCTCCTGTCTTGTCTGTTGCATTGTCCTGAATGTTGTAAAAAATGTGTTTGTAATCACAAGCGTTTTTTAATCCTATAATGGGATTTACTAGTTTAACTGGTGTGCTGTTGTGCACTAATGAGGCTTGTCCAACAAGGAAAAACGCTGCCTGTAAATTTTCTTCAGTGCTCTTTATTACCACACCAAACATGTGCCTGTATGTCTATTTAAATACCTGTATTAGTTTCAGTGCCTTTCACATGAGCTTACAGCATTATTGAAGGAAATAACTACGCTTAGGGCACTTATTTTCATATTTTTTTTCTGCTTTCTCTCCAGATCTGGATGAACTTCATCTTTGTACTTCATTGCAATAGATAGGCTTTAATGTTTATTGGCTTTTGTTGTTTGTTTCGTCTCCAAGACATTCTGGTATGTCTGTACAGTACTTTCTCTGCCTCATATTCCCTATGAAGAGAAGTATTTAGGTGGTTATGCATTTGGTATGAAATAAAAACACCTATGTGTACAAACATGAATCCGTGAATATTACATCTGTAGGTTAAGCCCTGCTTAGAGTTCAAGGTACTGGTATGTTTGCATGGTGTACTTTGCAAGCATGAGTCTCCCCCTTTTATTTACTAAAAACTGACCCTGAGTTTTGATCTTGCTCAGTTCTTAGTTACTCACAGCTAAAGCTTATCTTTGCTTTGACAGAATTTTTTTAGTAAAGGAATAAAATATTTTTTGCTGTTATATGATATCCAATACATCAGTGCTGTTAAATTTATAATTTTTATATGCAGGATCATGTGCTCATGTAGGTAAAAGGTATTAAAGGCACTGTATTAAATCTAAGTCTTTTTTATGAGGCAAGTTCTTTGCCTCATTTCAATGAGTACGATCCAAGCACTTTCTGGGTTTGCATTTCTAATGCTTTTTTGTTTTAATTGCTAAAGCCAACCAGACCATGAAAAATTCACCTTAAAACTATTTCAACTGAACTGCTCATCTTGCTTGTACCCATTGTATTTTTTAAGACCTGTCCAATTGCTCTTGATAAAAACTCAGCCAAGTAAGTTAACACTGAATAGATTGCAGAAGTTTAGAAATGGAGCAAACCTAGAGTGCCCATTGTTCACAAATGAAGCTTTAATTGCTCTTTCTGATTTTATCTTGAAACCATAATTTTCCTTTCCGTGAAGCTGCTTGAGGTATATGTTTCATCAGAGGGATTTGTTCTGTTACTTATATAATAAAGGGGTGATTGAGACAGGGTGAAAAAGCTTTGAAAATCAGATTTTAAAAGAGAAAAGAGATTTATACTAAGGAGGTGCTTTTGTGACAAAATACAGGTGATGTGCACAGGCTGCCTGAGCTGACAAGAACTGTGGATCTTAACAGCTGGAAAATCATCTGCCAGCTGAGGGCCTTTAGATTCCTGGTCTGTACGTCTTTACTATAAAGCTCTGTGAGAAAATTCTAGGCTTTTAGATGTTTTCTTACAAAAAGTGGTATGATGGATTATGACAGTCCACAGGAAAGAAAAAAGTGCATATATGTAAAGGACAACTCCGTTTGACCCCTTTTATTCCAGTTAAAGCTTTGTACTTAATCATTGTGTCAATCATATTTTATAACTGGAGCTGAAAACTGCTCATGATTTTGAGCAGGCCCTCATGAAACAGTCTGAAAATTCCTGAAGAATCATTTTTGGTTCTTTTCTCTGTAGCAGTTCCTCTGTCAGGAGAGACACAGGGAAAAAGTGTGCTACTTGTTATAAATCCCCAAATGTTAGTGACCAATACTAGCAGCGTCCGAAGAAGTGACATAGGTTTATTTAAACAGTTTGGAAAAGTAAAATTTTAAATAGACTGATTTCACATTAAAATAAATCTATTGGCTTATATAAGTCCAGGAAGTCTTTATTTTTCCAGATAAAATGTTGTAGCCTTCCTCTCTTTCTAGAACATGGTTCCACATATTGTTTGTTTTCCCTCAGTTAAGACTGATGGTTTCATGCAGAATGTGAAGGTTCAGCCTTTTACACGTAAGTATGTAAACAGCTTTTGGTGTACATTCAACAACCAGAAGGCTACTGTCTAACTAGGTAAATAGTGATTTTTTTATATTTGTTCCATGGATGCTGCCTGATGTTGCAATAGTCCAGGAGGACTTAGACAAACTGGGGGCTTTTGGGATGAAAATAAATGAATTAATATTCTCCAAAGCTGTCTCTCAAGGACACCAGGGATTTTAATGGGGATTCAAATGACAAACCCTGTTTAGTTCTCTATCAGAGTGAACTCCCATGAAATGTGTGTAGTGTAGGGAGTGAATCATCACCAACTGTTTTGCTTGGCAGATCTGCTCCCATTGTGTCACGGTGTTTGCTAATGTTGATATGGCCTAAAAGGAACACGGTATCTTTTGAGAAATAAAATAGTTGGTTTTAATTAGTTTCAGACATGTAAGTGTCTTGCTGTACTGGTAGTAGAGCAGTTAACATAGGATGAGAACTGTCTCTGATTCTTAACTGCATGTCAGACTTGTGTAATGGAGCTTGTGCTGAAAGAGATCCACAGAGCTATTTTAACATTGCCTTTAAATTGTGGATTTTATTGCAAAGCCAGGCATTCTGTTCCCAGCTGTTGAGTAAGCAGTCATATGTGGAACTACTGTAAAATTGGTTGCATTTGTGTGGAACCTATTGTAAGAGCCATTAAGAAATAAATCTTTTTGTTACATAGTTACATTTCTTTTAAGCAATTAATTAATTTGAAGTGGATAATTATCCCCAGGTGTACAGCATACGTCACATAAACCTTGACACAGAGATTGTCTTGTTCCTTTGAAAGTCTGTGGGGTTTAAAGTCAAGAACAGATCAAAAGGCTCTTTTAAACTTGGGATTGCTTACTGCTCCTTCAAACTGCGCTGTGCAGTTATTCTGTAAGCATCAGATTGCGTTTTTACTCGGTGACACCCTAGAAATTGCTCTCTGATACTCTGTGGCCTTTTCTAATGCTGTAATTTTTCAGGATGGAACGGGGATGTCACTGAGAGATTTGTATCACGATTTAGTGGTCATCTGATGTTGCGTTAGTCTTGTTGTGACGTTCTTTGACTATAATATTTTTTTGTTCTTATTCATTTTTCACTTGCTCTGAATCCATGCTTTAGTGAGCTGATCCTTTGGTCCTGAAGATATCTGTCTTCTTATAGATGTTTTCATTTGCAATCACAACGTGCAGAGCAGCATTTTAAAGTTGGATGTTTATACTACTCTGCTTCTGAAAGCACTCTGACTTGTTTTAGGTCTGTTTCCTACTTTTAATTCAATCCTTTGCAACTCAAAAAAAAAAAAAGATGTTTGTGGTAGATGTGAACGTTAGAGAATGAATGCACTGTGTATAGTTATCTTTCTCAGACATTTCTAGCGTTTGAGTCAGTGGGCTAGAATTTGTGTAGTTGTAGAGGTGTATAATACCAAAGTGCTAAGGAAATGTATTCTAGCAGGGTTCAATGATTATTATAGCCTTGTAGAACAATCCCGTACCACTTGCTTACTATGAAATCCGATCTAGATGGCACTTAGAATTTTATCTGTTGTTTAGGTTAGAGGAGGAGGAAGAGGGGAAGGAAGGGGTGACAGCTTTCAGCAGAAGCTTAGAAGTGGGAGTTTAATAATGGTAATCCTGGTGATCTAAAAGGGCTTTTCACAAGTAAAGGAGGAGGTGGGAGCCTAAAGTTGTGTCAGAGGGCAGGTGAGACGGAAGTGCAGAAATATCCATGACTATGCAGTTGTCCTGAGTTGAAAAAATGTCTGTACTGTAGGTAAAAAAAATTGTTAGATTTGATGGTGCTGCTATTATTTGGAATTGCAATTGTCTTCATTTTAGTTGAGCCTTCTTATGACATTGTTCTCTTGTTTCACAGCTGGATAGGATCTATCCCTTGAGTATGTTTCTGGTTTTTTTTTAAGTTCTGTCAGCTGCATTCAGTATCACTTCTAAAATGCTATTGAATACTTGTTATATGTTAATGGTGGCCACCAGTGGCTCATACACAACTGTAAACAACAGTGGGTTTTTCTTATCTCCCTCAGTGGCCACAGAACTCAACTTCTTGTCACCCCTCTTACTTAGTGTACTGTAAGCTTTCAAGGTGCAGTCCTGTTGTAAATGCTGACATTCCTATTGTTTGGAGTCTGTTTGCGCAGTTAATTTTCTGAGCACTAACTTGTACCAGCATGTGTGTGAAACTTAACTGGCCAATGCAAGTTGAACCCACTAACAGGGAAATAAATACATTAAAAGTATCTTCTATGACTGTAGGACTCTATTTGAATATTACTGTTTGGATAACTGTAGTAAAGGCAGTGCATCTTTTCTGTGCCTTTACATGGTGGTACAGCCTTCATCTTGTGAACTTAAGGCATCTTTGTGCCTACCGTTCCAGGTCATCTACTGAGATGTGTTTTGGGTTAAATTAGAATTTGTAACAGGGATTCATTTATACACACATTTAGGTTTCATGGAGGAGCTGTTTGAAGCCATTGTAATGAACCTGGAGCGGTAATTTCTGCAAGGTGATGGTCAAATACATGTCCTACAGGCTGCTCTTCTCCTTAGGTTTTATGTAAGTGATTTTTCTGGTACTATGGAGCTCCAAGTCTTGCCTTTAAACGTTGCAAAGAAGTTACTGGATCATTTTAGTGATCCTTAATGCCCAAGATCTGATGTTTCTGACATATAACCAAGTACCATCCAAGATGATGAGTTATTGCTGAAGTGGCTAAATAAGCTTTTTATGTTGCTGTTGATCTTAGAGCTTAGTGAGCTACCAAAATAGAGCATATATAATATATTGTCAAGTCAGTTTGGGTGTTGTCTTTGGGACTAGTCAGTGAAAGTTCTGATATTATGAAAGTCTTGATTCAGATGTATCATTCTAGAAATGTCTAGTTTAGATGTCTAAATTGATCTTCAGAGGATGAATATTCACATCCTGAAATACCACTTTCCACTGGAGTGTTAAGCCTTCAAAATAACCAACAGTTTGTAAAACCATGATTGCCTGTAGTGAGCAAGACTTGGAGTGAAAAACCTGTAACTAAAAATCTGTAGTCATTTCTCTCCTTTCTGATCAGTGTCCATACTATTTTCTTGCAGCTACTTGTACATGATGGATATGTGAGGCAAGGTACTCTGTGTGCTTCCCAAGTAACTGTACAATAAGGGGGTTTGCTTTCTGAACAGTCTGTAATTATATGGTTATTCTTCTTTCACAAGAATGGTGATCTGAAATTCGAACTTGGACTATGCCCTATTCTGAGGTTTTAATTGCAGTCTGGTGTATGATTTGGAAAAATAACTTGCCAGTTTAGTACCATTCACAAAAGGTCTCATTGTTGCTTAGGAACCAACATAATGTCCATGAAAAGTACTATCCATGTTAGATAGTAAAAAGCTTTCATCTGAAACATATATCTGTTCTGCTTCAGGAGAGGTATCGGTGCTTGTAAGCCATCAAAAAATGCTATGGAGATATGCAACCTTCTGCAGTATTGGTAAACATATACTGCATGTCTATCTCAGTGTTTCCTTAGAACAACATCAGCTCTGATTAACTCAAAACTAACCAGAAAACAAATTGTGGGGAGAGAGCTGAAACTTCTCTCTAACATGTTTTTTATCAGACTTCCTTCTTATGAGTATGGCAAAGCACACCTGTATGAGGAAGTTTTCTGTATGTAGTTACTATGACTTTGCTAGTACTATAGGGTTGGTGGTTTTGTTTCTAATTTGGCTAATACAAGGCAGCTCTCTCTGCCGCAATTGTGCCTTTGCTGTAGTATTTGTCATTGCTAGCAAATACTTTGACCAACTTCAGCAGAAGTTAGTTGACACAGAAGGGACCACTATATAAGAAATGTAAATTCTATCAAAGTGTGTAAATTAACCCAGAAACAAATTTATCTGGGTATTTGAAAAAACAACACCAAAGAAGAATGCATGACTATGCTCATTTCCTGAAAAATGCTAATTTCCCGAAAATTATTTTATTAATCAGAAATTATTACTAACTAAGATGTAGTAGCCTAAAGAAAGATAACCCTTTTTCACAGCAAGCATCAACTAAGAGGGATCAAGCTATGATAGAATTAAAAGATTATCTGGGTCAGTTCCAGACTTGTTCTACCTGATGAACTTTTTCTAACATCACTCATGATCCATGTTTTCCTGCTGTAAAAATGATGCTTGGAAATGTTGGTTTGTCCAAATTCACTCATTTTCCAACTAATTCTGCATTGCTTTACATCATCAACAGTTGGCAGTGTCCATTCTATGCTATGAATTCTACCCTAACTTTGTCATGGTCACATCCTTTGCATGAAATGTAGTGAATGGAACAAAATCCACTTTAGAGTAGCTGGAATGAAATCGGAGACCACAGAAACACTGAACAGGTTAGATTTATTTTTTTTTTTTAAATCAGTGGAATCTGTATCTATAAAACCTAAAAAGTTTCCTTATTTCTTGATGTAATATAAAACAGTTTGACAGGGTGAATGAAGAGAGCACTTTCTAAGGAGGACTATTCTGCAAGACCATATTGCCATTTTTTAAAAGAAGAAACTTTGTAGGATACTTACAAATTATACAACACATTATTGCCATTATAATGCCAAGAATTTGTTTTAAGACCTGCATATATTTTACTAAGACCCCCCCCCTTCATTTAGGTAGTGACAACATATAATTTACACAGTTAATTACAGTAACTCACATCAAAGCAGCTCCAGAAGGTATACTTCCCACTCAAAAAACATTTCAATAATGTCCTACTCACACTGTTTGAAGAATAATGGTCAAATACGAATAAAAATTTTACCTGTGTTCTCTTGTTATTTCTCAGTTTTTACCAGCGAAGAGTGCTATCTTTGTTACTGATGTGCTCCTTTTGAAGATCTGAATAGGTTTTCTGGTGATCACTCTCTGTGGCATCTTTTATGCAGGTGCTTCTTGTTGCTAAGAGATCAGTTGCTTAGAGATGGAAGTTTGTTTTTTTTTTTTGTAATAGATCAGGGGGCATTGCTATTGAAAAGAAAATTTTGTAATTTCACCTCTAGAGCTCAATGTATCTCTGCAAAATAGCCAGTGACAGAAGTGTACCTGCCTAATGCAGATTAGAATTGTAACTGGAGAGTAAACCGGAAAAATAAACAAAGTTTATAATTAGGTTCACTGGCTCTGAGAATTCAGGTTTGTCATTTAGCTGCGAGGTGCAACTAGAAGAAATGTTAATTCTTTGCCTAGCATATCTAAATGCATTTTTGTTTTCCAACAGAAAGGAAGAGAAGTCCAAAACTTTTCTCTAAAATTGAGATGCACAGTGCTGTTGATAAACTCTTTTTAAGATGCAGTCCTGCACTGACATTGGAAAGGTCTTACTGACTGTCTTACGTATTTTTGTATGTAGCTTCATTTATATTCCCAGTAGGTTTGTTACTGTGAAATTACTTTGCAAGCTAAAGGCTTGTGCTTTTTGATCCTTCTCTTTTTTGCTGTAGCCTTGGCCAACTTGAACAAACTTCATTTACGAAAATCCAAATATTTTCAAGGACTGCATCAAGTAATTACAGGAATCATAGAAATAATGACCAGAGGTCTATAGGAAAAGACAATGCTGTTATTAAAAGATGAGAATTACACAGGAGTATGAATAAGGTACTTGCGCCTGTTACTTACTGTTTTGAAACAGCAAAAGAAATCCAGATTTCCTGAATTTCTGCTGTGGGAAATCTTTTGCTGATTTGGCTGCCTCTTCTATAAATACACCCCTATGAGTCCAAAGAGACTGCTTTATGAAATAGATCAGAAACATCTTTTTTGCTTATTGCTCTCAAGTTTAGAAAATCCAGTCACTTGAGTCTGTTTTCAGCAAGGCCATGTTATGTCCTGTGGCAGGAAGACGTTCTGCATCCTTGTCTTTCACTATCAAGCACAAATGTAAAAGATTCCCATAAAATGATTTCATTCTTCTTTTTCCAAATTTACTCAATGCTTCTGTATTAGCATTTAAAAAGAATAAATAAAACAAATTAGAGTACTTATAATAAGAAAACCCAGCTAATGGGTAAAAGGGTCTTATATCTGAAGGACTACGATCTCATGATCTCACTTGCAACAGAAGTTATTTAACAGTTACATACAATAGGTCTAGTGATGAAATATTTTTAAGTCAGTGAAGGATGGGAGAGGCCTAGAATTTTATTGAATGTTCAGTTTATCTCTTTTGAGAAGCCTTTCCTAAAGTCAGTCAGCCAATAAATAAATAATGCAGACAGTTTGGGGAGAATAAGGACTGAATTCATGTGGAAATGCTTCCGGCATTACCGCAACCTCATTAAAGATACACAGCTTACAAAACCAGAAGCCAGCATAATTTCAGTCTGAGAACGGAACTCTTTTGTTCTTCTTCCACGTGCACACACTCTTCCATATCTGTTTATTATGCATAGACTTGTTCGCAGTAAAAGCAGAAATGGGCAGAACTTTGGTGAACAATTCTGTTGTGTCCTGTGTTTAGAGCTTGTCACAGTAATGGTTAAAGCCTGTTGTATAATATCTGATGTTTTGAAAGCACTGAAATTACTTTGGTTTATTCCAAAGAGAGGTGATAGCTGGTTTTAATTTTTTAAGCCTACCTAAAGTTGTGGGGGAAGTCATGCATGAATATTTTCTAACAAGCCAGCTGTATGTTTTTGCTGCCTGTAGACTGGGATATTTACATTTTGGAAGAAATATATTGTTATCCTAGTTTTGGTCCATTTCATGGTATATTTCTCATAGGTTGTTAATGTGGGCAAACTAATATAAATGATCAGTTCTGAAGTCGATGGATAATTGTTTCATGTATGTCACACTCAGCTGCTGAGAAGAAGCTTCTGTTGAACTGTGCTTGCTAGTTTTTTCATGTTTTTCTTTGCGTTCCCCACATATTTTTATTAAAGGTCAAAGTCGGCATTTGTTGCCACTGCAAACACCTCATTGCTTTTGTGTTCTGCTTAAGATATAAAGGGAAATTACGATAACTCCAACCTTTGTGTTTGCAGCTGTCACTTGCTGACTTTGGAGATGGTATATTGTTTTATAGGTGTTAGCTCAGGCTGTAGTATTAGTATTATTCATATTAGTAGTATTAATAACATGGCTATTGGAAAAAGAGCTCTGGGATGCATTACTTTTGTTATTGCTGAATTGCAATTAAAAGAAATCTTAGTTTAATTTGGAAGCATCTATACCCTTAGTTATGCTTTATTATACATGCAAATGGTAAGAATTAAACTACCTAGCTATTTATATTATTTTTAAAAGTCTCAGAATAAAGTTTGGTAAAATAGGAAATTAATATAAGGAATGTGAAACCAACAAATTTCTTTGTCAGCATGTGTTGCTTGAAGTTTAGGGGTGTCCAAGGATGATCTGGCCAGTTTCCCACACAAACACATTTTGCTTCCTTGCTCCATGATAATTTATTTACTCAAAAGTGCTAATTTCTAAAAATGAAAGATCTGCTAAAGTGTTTTTGGAGCTGCTGCTTCTTTCAGTGCTATGTATCTATTTACTGATACAAAGAATTTGTGCATGAATCCTACCGAATTCAGGGGCAAGAAGCCAGTTGAATTGGTCATGAAGATATCACAAAAGTGGTTAAATAACGTGAAAACACTTGTTTATAGTTAAACTAGGTTTTGTAAAGACTGCTTTTTGTGGGATATATCTTTAAATCAAATGTTATTCTCATATGCCAGAGAAAATGTATTTAAGTTCTTTCATGCCAAAGAATTCCCAGAACTTTGTATAATGAAACCAGAATAATGGGACTTGTTGTTCACTACAAAGATCTGTGGTTGAATACTACAAATTCTTCAAGCCTGAGTAGGCATTCACTGAATTAACAAAGTTCTTTTTTATACCATTAAAAATAACGCAGAGTTTTTTTTTCCTAAATATTTTACAGTAGACTTCTGGGGAAAAAGGATGCAAAATGCTCTTGATAGTTGAGCAGAAGGGTAGCCAACCCTGTAAGCCAACCCAGTTGCTCATGTGATAAAATTGATTACAGTTTTAGTAATAAGGGCTTGAATTGGAGATCACAATTTTTCTTCTATGCATAGCTTTAGAAGATTTATGTAGCTTGCAGTTCTAACACCAAGCTAGTTTGGCAATTCTGTGTCTGAAATCTTTGCAACTCACATTTTAGGATATATTCCAAACCCCTCAAACTTTAGAGGTTGTTAGAAAGTGTTCTGTGTGGATGTTTAACATTTAGAGATGCCCAGAGCAGCTGTGAGAGCCTCATTCCTGGCAGTGTTCAAAGTCAGGTTGGACAGGGCTTGGAGCAGCCTGGCCTAGTGGAAGGCATCCCTGCCTGTGGCAGGGGTTGATACTCGATGGTCTTTAAGATCCCTTCCAACCCAAACAATTCTGTGATTCTAGAGTGTCATGGAGGCCTCTCCTTTTCAGTGAAGTACGTTTGCTGTTATTCTGAATGTTGGAAAATAAAGGAAATTAATTTTATTTATTAATTTGCGGCATTGTTTATTTTTTAGTGCTGGGTGAACAGAGTAATGAAGGCAAAAGATACACATATTTTAAAGCAAAATGTTGTTTTTAGGGAATTCCATTTCTCTCAGTAAACTCTAAAATCCCTGGGCAGGATCTGTGAAAAAGAATTAGGATGCCTGAATCCAGACTTCTTTGTGTGGTAACTTACTATAGATCAGGAAATATATTACTTCAACCCACAAGATGAATTCCTGAGAGTAAGAGAAAGTTATGCAGTGGGAAGCCAGAAGAGTTCCTCTCGTTTCATCAAATTGATCAAAATCAAACCATCTGCTTTAATGTTGGTGAAGAAATTCGACTGGAAAACGTTCTTGGTGGAATCTCTCTGCTTGGCTTACTAAACTAGCTGTGAGCGAGTCACTTGTAATCACCTCCTTTCTGGCCTCTGGGCAAAGCTTTTTGGTGGGACTCTAGAAAATGATTTTTTTTAATATAATTTAATTAAGAATTAAAAAATTGAAAAAGGAAAATAATCACAGGTGGGCAAGTTCCACTTTTCATGTGTTCTACCTCAACTAGACACAATAGATTTGGTGTGTGTGGTGATTGTTAATCTAATTTTTAAGGTAGACTACTTTTATTTTACTACAATTGGCAGACTGTATAATCATGGCTAGCAAAGAATGGGCTAGATATATGCATAAGCCGCTTGTTTCTGCTCTCTCCATGGAAATATAGTTGTTTCCATAACATGTCAGCCAAAACTGCTTTCTGCCTTTTATGTTTCTATTTTGCATTTAAAAGGGTTAGAAAAAACCCTGGTTCAGCCAAAAAAATTGGATAAATATGCATCTTTTTGTTCCCCTTGAAGAATAATTAATAGCAGATGAAACAATCCTAGGTTTCTCTGCTGCCCACTGGGTAATCTGCATCCACTGTGGCATGGAAAGATGGCTATATTGGAACAAGAGGCAATCCAGAACCTATTCCATTTTGCTCCCTGATCTGATGAAGCTGCTCTATACAGTGGTGGGTTCTGTGACATGTAAAATCATCCTAGACACACCACATTTTTCTCGGGTAACATCTGTTCCTGTGCAAAGGAGGAGTCTGAGGTTCATTTCTACTTTAATTTTTCTGTCATTCTATTCATCTGACAACTTCCCAGCCGCTTTTTTGGTCCCAGTCCAACCTATCTCAACCTTATAGCAGTGACATTGAGATAAAGGGTTTTTGAGATCCCATTTTTCTGTCATCCATAATTCAAGAATCTACTTAGTCAATAATTTTGACTATCATCTGCTCAGTCTTCTTTAACTGGCAAAGAAGAAATTCCTGCATAAGCTTGCTGTAACACTGCTGTGCATAACAGCTACACATCTGTGGCGGCTGCTACTCTGTTAATACATTATATGTAAAAATCTAAATGTTTGTGTGTTCAGTCTGGCCTTAAGTAGGCCTTCCACATACCTCCACTAGCTGCAGGATGCTTCCCCAAACCTCTCCTTGCTGAAAATTGTTTAGAAATGTTTAAGGAGTACCAAAAGAAAGAAAAGCTTTTGGAGATGCTTGCTATATCATTGGGTACAAAACAGTCAATAAGTGCCTCTTGAAATCCCTTCTGTCTGTACTGCCTGAGATAGGTTCAAATCTTCAGAATTGTCACTTCTGGGGACTTGAGGTTTGGTGTTTGTTGAGGTTTTTTGTTGTTTATGTTGCTGATGGAAAGAGCTTTATAAAAGAAGTTCTGTGTGGGCTTGAACACTCAAAAAGATCTCAGTAATTTCATTTATCTGAAACAGATGCAGATGCAGGAAAAATTGTAAGTGGTGTGGCTGAGAGCCATTACTTAAGAGCCATTTCTGTACATATGTTTTTATTAAAACGGGTTTCAGTGTTTGGGTACTCTGTGCTTCATTACAAACATTCTTTCCCTGAATAATAGATACGTGTGTAGCTGCACAAGAGCCAGTGGACTCTTTCAGCTTTTCTTTTGAGGGCCATTTTCCTCCCAAACCTGTAGCTTATAGGGATCGCTGTACACATCACACTGTGTTTTTGGTTAATAGTTATTTTAGTGATCTATGTTGATAAAAAACTGTGTAATTCGCTGTGGCATATTAATATCAGAATGTTTACTGTTACTTGGGAATTGTCTACCTCAACTGCTACCGCATGAGCTGATTACTATTTTGGACTGTACTTGGGAGCATTTTGACTTGATTTTGAAAAACATTTAAATATCAAACAGCCCTTCTGTGAAGTGACTGGTGGTGGCAACCATTGATAAGTCTTTTAGAAATATCTGTAAAGAAAAACTGGCTCTTTGCTTGGGATTAGTTTGTTTGTAGGAGGTGGTGATTGTCAGCCTTCCAAAAACATAAAGAAAAGAAAAAGATTATTATAGGGTTATGTTGCTATTGCCTTTTGAGGCAGGCATTAGATAGCTGTTGTTCAGCACTGCTCCTTCCTATTCAGAGGATTTAAATCTTGTAATAAAATTAAGCT